CAGCTCAAACTCCCATCACTGAGGGCAGTGAGTTCTGCCTTTATACTGCAGTGCCACACAGCAGTCAGAGCCATTTTCCAAAGAAAACTGCGATAAAAACTGGAATCCAAGAAGCATCCACCATCTAACACCACATAGTAAAAATGACACTTTAGGTCAGATCCTGCTTTGTTCATTTACACTGCAGAGCTGACCAGTGCTTGGTTTTGGTCCTACAGGTGTTTACGCCCTTCTCAACATTGAACATCCAGAAAGAAGCTTCATCAGCTGGGAGGATCTGCCAAAAAATAAGCTGCATCCCTCACAGACATCTCTTGACACCTCCTTCCTTTCCCCCAGGGGACGGGAGGGCAGCCAGCAGCCTCTGCCAAAATCTACCCAGAACCAAATTCCACCACACATTACAACCTAGAGCCCTGCAAGTCACACTTACACTGGCTAACTGCAGCCCTATTCTCCAAGAAAAGAGGAATAAACACAAACCTTTTCCTTAATTTTTCTTCGAACTGGATCTCAGGACTTGGCCCAAGCAATTAGAAGTTCCTCATGGTAGCTGCCCAGTGATGTTAAGAGCATTAATCATGAAAGCAAGAATCATGAATGCAAGTAAAAATAGCACAGGTTCTGCACATAGCTTTTTTTTAAGCTTCACACCTACTCAGAACAATCTCTTGATCAGTTGTCAAGAACCACTTCGTTTGGGGATTTTTGTGTGCCTTTTTATTGCTACTTAATTTTAGAACAAACGCTTCTGATTCATAAAAGCGGAGTAACTGTGAACACGCTCTCCAAACCTTCTCTAGAATGCTTTGTTTGCAAGAGGCCAATCTCAAAATAAACTTTTTTGTGAGTTTTTAAATGTCAGATAGTCTCCTGCTCGCATCACTTCAACCCTCTGCACTGCAACCCAAGCATTTTTAATCCTGGTAAGAGTGATGCATAACATACAGAAAACAAATCTAATATAAATCTTCTGGCAGAAAACCTGTTGGATGGATTGAAGCGATTTCATCAGAGATGACTATCATGCAAAGATCAACAGAACATTTGAAACAATGAGATTCAAATACTGACAAGGTACCGTCAGCCACTCTAATCCCAAAATAACTGCTTCCAAGGACCAGTACGTTACAGCAATAAAACAAACTCAGTGTTTCATCAAATCGTAGCATCACCAAGATCATCCAGTCCAGCCGTCCAGCTACCACCAGCATTCCCTCACAAAACCACGTCCCTTAATCCAAATGTTTCTTGAATGCTCAATGTTTCAGGGACAGTGACTCTACCACCACCCTGGGCAGCCCATTCCAGCTTCTGACCACTCTTCCTCTGCTATACTGCAAATAGCATAACTCTTAATAACAGCAGCAGTGCTCCGTTTTCAGCACTGAGTGATGATGCCCTCTGCACTGTCCACACACACAGTAATAGAAGACTCCAACATCTCCATCGGCCTCAGGTCATCTGAAATGTGCCCCCCTGGTTCTCACATCATTTTCTCACGAAGAGGGCAGATGTGGCACTGAGGGACATGGTTCAGTGGGCACGGCAGTGATGGGTTGATGGTGGACTAGATGACCCTTGTGGTCTTTTCCAACCTTAATGGTTCTATGATTCTCTGCGCAGCTTCAGAAATGCACTTCCAGCTCCTTCTCTACATTCTAGCTACATGCCTCAATTCCTACTGCTTTCTCAAATGCTTTCCTTTGTCACTCGGTCACAAGCAGGCACCAGCCATATCTTTCAGCCACCAGCACCACCTGAGATCCCCTCTTCCCCCATCAACATGAATTTAGCCAGCAAAAAGCCCCTGAATAAACAAGACAGCACTTTCTCTGCCATCAGGATACCACCACACACACCCCCTGCTGCACTCTCCTATTATGCTATGGCTGCAGTGACCTGAAAAAGTGACTCAAAATACATATGTGTATTGAGTGGATCAGAAGCGCACTTGGAATAGCACAAGCCCAGCAGGGAGAAGTATCCATAGACTAAACAGTTGACACTTGCAATATTTATTCTATTTCCAGTAATACCAGCATAAAGTTTTAATAAATGCTGCATTAAAACATCAGCTGTTTGTCCAGCAAATTATCACTCATAATCACAGCTACGTACTGCCTTCTACAGATGGTCTTACAGCTGTGTTACACTCCACCTCTGCAGAATCCTTTATAACATCTGTTGAATATCTGTGTTTTCTCAGCTTGCTTATAATGCATCTACTATTCTGTTCCCTAAAATCAGCAAAGATGTATTTCCTCGTGACTTACAATCTACTAGTTGCCTGATGGCTTTTTGCTGTATCTATTTAAATAGCTTTTAGATTTTCTCTTAGTAACAGATTACACTGAGCCTCCATTTTATCAGAGGAGTTATCGGGATCTAATCCCTTATAAGCACTGAAGTTATTAGAGTTGTGAGACTATTTTCCTTCCTTCCATAATCTGTTGTAGATGGAAAAAAAAGGTGGGGGGAAGCCACTTGCATCCTTGCTCCCCTGATCTACGGCCCTAAACCCAAGGAGCAAACCTCCCTTATCCACTGCCCTGGCAAGGAGCTGAGAGTGGAGGTTGTACACCAACACAGATGGGGTGCAGGCTGCACCAGAGCAATGCTATGCAAAGCAAAGTGTTCCCCTCAGAAAGTGCAGTTTGCAAAGGGAAATGCCATTTTAAGCTGTTTTTTCTTTAGTTTTGTTTCTTTTCCTTTTATAAGCAGAATCCTGCAATGCAAATACATTAAAAAAAAAGACAAGGGGGAGGGGGGGGGGGGGGAAGAGGGGATTGAATCCAGCAACACCCCAGGATAGAGCTGAGTCATCTCACCCAAAAAGCAGCGCCCATGGGGATGGGGAGAGCAGAGAAGGAAGATGAAAGAACTGCTTTCCATTTTGCAATGGCTCCATCCCTTCCCACTGCACAGAAAATCCCACTACTCCACAAGTGCTCCTGGATTTTGCAACCTCAGTCCCTCTGCCTATATGAAAGATATTTTTAGATAGTTTGATAACAGGTAACAATCTTTCTCCCTCCTCTTCCCCTTTGCCATCTCTGCCCTATGAGCTCAGTGCTTCCCTGAGCAGCGCAACCTGGTCCAGGCAGGGAATGGAGGCTGGAAAGAGGGGGAAAATGGGATGGGAGATGGAGCAGAGCCCTGTGGAAAGCCAAAAACTCAACCTGCACAATAAGGTGGGCAAACACCACCTCCACTCTCCAGCATGATGGGTTTCTGAAGAACATCCCCAAAAGGTGCAAGGGCATCTTCCTCCCTGGGTCTTCCCTGTTCCTCAACCCCTGCCTGGACACTGAGATGCTGGAGCTTCCCATCACCTCCCACAGCTGCAAAACATTGATGTTCCAATGTGAACATCTTGCAGCGACGAAACAGCAATCCCTGAGCAGCAGTAAAACACTCCCTGCACTGGAACAAGGAAGTTTCTCCCGAGTCAGCCTCACTCCTCCGCTCCCCTGAAAAATGCTTTTGCAAAAGGCAGAGGAAAGGGCACAAACAACTCCCTGCAAACTCCTCGCCAACTCTCGTTTTGCTTTGCAAAAGCTGCGATTTGCCTCCCCTCCATCACTGCGGGCTTTTTAGGGTCTTTCTGTAGAAGAGATGCTCGCTGCAACACTTACTTGTCAGCCCAAATTTCAGTGCACAGCAATTTCTGACCATTTTTGCACAATAGCAGAGGGGGAAAGAAGCACACCCCCGTTGATTGTCTAGGAAAGGTTTGACAGCTCCACCAGGACATCTCATCCCACGACATGTCTACTGCTAATGCAAAATAAATCATCGCTACATCTCTCGGCATTTTCTTTTTTCCCTCCCTCTTTCATGGCATATCTGCAATTTTGGCATCCGAAAGCAAACCAGCCACGCTCCGAAGTCTGGGTGCTCCTTCTCGTGGTTTCCTCCCAGCACACACAAACCCCCGGACTTTTCCCACCCCTAAGTCCTGCGGGGGAGGGGGGGGGAGACCCGAGGACGGAGCCCATCCCTCTGCCTCCGCATTGAATTCTCCAGCGCACCTCTCCGAGCAACAAAAGAGAGTTGAACCAGACGTGTGGCACCTCGCTTCTCTCCTTCACCCCCCCAACCCCCCCAAAATGTTTATTTTCAGCTTTTAAAAGACACCTTAATCCGCCATGTTGAGCCGACAAGCTTTATAAATATTCATTTACCGCAGTTCGGGAGCGCTACGGGGAAATATGTAGCGATCAGGGCTGCACGTTTTGGCACAGCCGATTGCTTTCTTTTCTTTCTTTTCTTTCTTCCCCGTTATTTGAGGCAGCTTGGTTCTCTCTCCCGCCCCCCCCCCCCCCTTTTTGCAGATTCAGAAGAAAGGCACTCGCACACCCAAAATAACTCTTTCCGAGGCATGCAATCATCAGCCTAGTGAATGTAAAAGGAGGTCGCGTGAGAACGTAGCAGGGAAGCACCATGAAGACAGATGGTAGTTTAAAGAGGAAAAACAAAACGAGAGAGAGGAAAAGCAAAAGAAAGGAAAAAGAAAGAAAAAAAAAAAGAAGAAGAAGAAGAAAGAGAAAAAACTGAGCGCATCTACAGCAAGACAGGAAAAAAAAAAAAAAAGAAAGAAAAGAAAAGAAAAGAAAAGAAAGAAAGAAAGGAAGAAAGAAAGCTTCGCACGCCCGCGGTAAATCGCGCTCGCGGAGCCGCGGAAGGACGGCGGCGGGGAGCGGCAGCCGCAGCCCCGAGCGCAGGTACCGAGCGGCACGGCCGGGGCTGCGCTCCAGCGGCCCCGCAAACACTTCACAACAACTCCACCGCGAGCACAATTCCCAGCCCCGCTGCCATCTCCCCTCCGCTTTTTTTTTTTTTTTCCCTAAAAAAAAAAGAAAAAAAAAAAAATTAATAAACCTTGGATAAGAAGCGGCTCCCTCCTCCTCCTCCTCCCCCACAAAAATAATAATAAATAAAATAAAGAAAAATGCCAGCAGGGAGACCGCAAGGGAGCCGCAGGGTGCGGCGCTTACCTGAGCAAGTTTGGGATTTATTTTTTTAGTTATTTTTTTTCCGCTGCGCGGAGCCGACCCGTCCCTCCGCCCGCACCCGCGGCAGACTCATTCCAATATGGCATCCGCGCAGTGCGCATGCCTGCCGCTCTTTTTAGGGCTTTTTTTTTTTTTTTTTTTTTTTTTTTTTTTTTTTTTTAGCAGCCAACTCCTTCAGTGACCTTTTTCAGCAGTTTCAAAAAAAACAAAAGAAAATAGAACTTAAAAATAAATCCGCGCATCCTCCCCCTATGGCAGTCAGCATCAGTGCGGTGCCGCCGGGGCAGCGGTGCGGGGCAGCGCGGTCTTTCCGTGCGCGCAATTTTGAGCGAGAAAATGCCGAAAAGCCATCGGAGCCTTCAGCGTAGAGGGAAATCTGCTCTGATTTTTCCCTCCCCGCTCCTCCCCGCAATCTTTTCGCTTGGGTTTGGTGGCTGATTTTGGGTGGCAAAGAAACTTTCGGGGAGCATGGGGATACAGCGATAGGGGAAAAAGCACCGCGGCTCCTTCAGTCCCTGTCCTGGCACCCCCTGGCTCTTGTATTGCCGTATTACCTGGTTATTCCCCATTGTTGGAAAGAAAAAACAGGCACGAAACAACACCAGAGCAAGCGAGGAACAAGACAAGATGCGAAATCAACTGGTGCGTACCCTCCCAGCGCGCAGCACACGCACAACTTTCCCGCTATCGTTTGCATCTCAGATCATTCTCTTTTATTTTTCCTTTAGTGCCTACAGGGGATGAACGGCTGTATCGCGTCGTGCGGATGCGCTGGTGAGGGGGGTGTTTGCGCCTTTAGCCACATTGCGGATTTTTTTAGAATTTAGGCTTTTTTCTTTGCTTTGCTTTCTTTCAGGCTGCTGAAATCGTCCCTGACGCAGCGCTGGAAACCGCCCCGTGTCCCTCGCACCGATTGGTTTCGCTTCCCTGTGGGGTGCTTGAAAAATCCCCAGGGGGAATTAAAACCCTCCTCTGCACCCGGGGTTATTTGGGATGCCCCAGTTGGTGGTACCCAGCCAGCTCCAGAGCTTCCCCTACACAAGTTTGATCAGCAGCTGATGTGTTTTGCAGGAATTTTACTACCTGCCTGGCAGCCCTGCCTAAAAGCTGAGCAATGCTCATTTGCTGGGGATTTTTGGACTCTTTGTAACCCTTTTCCCTGCAGCATTCCTGATATGAGGCTGAGGATGCAGGACACCTTTGGAGCATTTCCTGGATTCAGTGTACGCATTCAGCAGGCGAGCAGAAGGAAGGGGTTTCCTTGCTTCTGGGCTTTGTTCTTTCTGCAGTGAGGGTGTTCTGACACCCTCACATGATGAGGACATGTCAGAGAGGTGGCGGTGATTTGGAATCGTAGAGTCATAGAATGGCCTGAGTTGAAAAGGACCACAATGATCATCTAGTTTCAACCCCCTGCTATGTGCAGGGTTGCCAACCACCAGACCAGGCTGCCCAGAGCCACATCCAGCCTGGCCTTGAATGCCTCCAGGGATGGGGCATCCACTTTTCCCATAGTTAACCCCAGCTCTCCTCTGTCCCATTGCAATCACCATCATCCTTTCACCGATCCTTGCCCAGAACTCAATGCTGAGGCTCCCCATCCCCTTCCTCCTCCATCAACCCATCTCCTTTCCCTTTCACCATTCCATACCCTTTTTCTCACATCTCATAGGTACACCAGCACACAATGGTATGTTTGTGCCTCAAAACAAGTGAGGCAATAGAGATGAAGGGGATACATTCATGGAGAAAAGAACAAACGCTTCAGACTGCGCGTTTCTTCACCACTTTCTTGCCATTTGTGGTCCATCTCCAAAAGGTCATGGTTTGGCTCCTCTTGCTCCAGCAGAGTTACTGTGAAACAAACACTTCAAGCAATTCATATTTTTCAGGCTTTCAGGTTGGTTCAAAATAGAAAGGAAATGCTGTCAGAACTTCAAGATAAGACGAAAACTCCAACAGATGCCAGGAAAGCACTGAAGTCCTATTTCTCCAGATGATCGTGGAAGTGGTTGACATTTTCAGCACGGTGACATTTCATATTTTCAACATATTTGTGAGTGGAAGATGCCCTGCAAACATGATACCTGTGTTCTTGCTCCTTTTAACCTGCTCTAAATTAGGTTACCCTGAGGCTTCTTTCACTGTGGCATATTTCAGTGTGGCTAAGGTCATGCCATGTTCTGACACTGCTGTCACCCAAGCTAGGGACAAACCAGCAGTTCTCACTGCATGAAGTTCTTTTCCAGCTCCCTTCCATTAGATGCATTTGTGCTTCATTTTCATACCCATTTAGAGTCACAGAATCATAGAATTGTTTGAGTTGGAAGGAGCCCTTTAAAGGTCATCTGGTCCATCTCCCCTGCAATGAACAGGGACACCTCCAGTTACATCAGGTTGCTCAGAATCCCATCCAGCCTGATCCTGCATGTCTCCAAGAGTGGGGCAACCACTACATCTCATTTAAAGGCTCTTTTGTTCCTCTGATCTCCCTGGAGTTTCTTCCTCCCTCTTGGCCCTCTCTTATTTTCACTTAGAGACCATTTCTGAGCAGCTGACAGCATGTTTGGCCATGTATGTAGAGATGTAAAAGAAAGCATTATCCTTGTGCAAGGAATTTATTATCTAAATTAGCTCGGTGGAAGCTGTCTAAAATAAAATGAAGGCTGAGGGAGAAAATCACTCCAATTTTTTTTTCCAAGGGGCTGTTTCTGTAAAACTTATAGATACAAATGTCAGGTCTCATCTGTAGATGGCTGTAACGACTCCTGCTGGTGGCTGAGACGTTGGGTCTTGCTCATAGCTGGGAATACAAATTTGTTTAGTGGACATGAAGTACAGCAATCTCTGTGTGATTTCATTTTAGTTCTACCTTTTAGAGAATTACTGGGAAAAAGAAACTTCTCAGAGAAATACTGAGTTGTCCCAGCCTCGTACTCCATGATTCTGTGATCCCAAGTATCCCAAGATTTAAAATAGGTTTAATCCCTGGTGAAAAATCATACCAAGCTTAGCTGCAGTTTTAGTCTCTGTAGCACTGTGTTCTCAGGGGTATACCTTCAATTATTAAGTTACATACATTTTGCTGCTGTTGATGCTGCAGTGTCACACCTGTTGGCAGCCACTTACCACCAAAACTTGTATTTCAAGTTGAGAAAAGAAGTTTCTCAATATTTTTTTACTTTTTATGTTTTTAAGAAAAATGCTTTAATGTAAATAGGATTGATAAAAGATTTACCTGAGCACCGAGTACTCAAATTATGATTATCATCCAACTGCTCATTTCTGATATTCACCTCCCCAGAATATTCACACTCCACGTTGTCCATAGCTGAAGAAGAGAAACATGTACAACCCAGTGGAATTCACAGTCTCATTGTTCTAGATTAGGAATCAGTGGTTTCTGAGTTCCAGAATAGGTTATCAATACAAGAAAAATGCATCCACTTCCCAATCTGGAATCTTTAGCAGGTCTAGGCTTTAGGGGACACATGGGGATGTAAAGAGACTCCCCTACAAAAACAGATACTAGAACATGGGCATACAAATGTTATGGCATTAGCACTCCCAATTTCTCTCTTTGGGAAAGCTAAGTGCCCTGGAAGAGAGCAGGATTTATACTGATTTTATAAATCAGTAGAATTTATAGAGGGATGTGCATCTTGGCATCCTTTCCTGTCCCTGATTTCACCAGGTGCCTGAAGAACTTGGACTGTCCCACAATCTTAACAGAATGCTGAGATGATGCATGTATTTGTGCACAGTGTGTAGGCTTTTCACAAACATAATGGTTGGACTAGATGATTTGAATGATCTTTTTCCAACCTTAATGATTCTATGATACTATAAATCAGTGCATTAGTCTGGTAGGTGGTGCAAATTGTGGAGTGTGATACCACATAAAATAGAAAATCTCCAGCTTTAGCAGTTCAGTTGTGATATACGCCATCATATAGGGCAGAAGTTATTTAGCAGTAGCCAGGTTTGTGTCTGGAGGAGTTTAGGGAGGTGGTGGACTGCTTTGGAATGCTGCTATTGAGTCACAGTGAGGAAGGGCAAAGATGTGTAGCCCCCAGTGATGAAATAATTGGGGATGATTAGCGGTGTCAAACCTGAGCTGTTGGACTAGATGGTCTTAGTGGTCTTTTTGAACTTTAATGATTCTATGATTCTGTGAAGCATGGAGACTGCCCAGCAGGATCTTGGTCAGTGGAGATCCACATCTGTTCAGCCCATCCTCATCAGCAGCTGCATCTTCTGCCATAGATACCTCCTTTCTGCAGGACTGCTGTTGGGTTCATGATGGAGCAGCTCTCCGTTGGGGGTTGGAACTGGATGATTCTTAAGGTCTCTTCTGATCTAAGCCGTTCTATGATTCTGTAATTTCCTCCCCTCCATGCCTTCAGATTTAAGTTTTACAGCTTCCAACCCACCATACGCTCTATCTCTTCACGAGCAAAAGGCATCTCAAGGCTGTCACTTCATGCCAGCTGATGTCAATGTTGTGTCAGGGATTGCTATGTCTTACCTACACCTTTGTCTCCATTTCATTCATTGGCTTCAATTCGGAGAAGTGATCCCTGTTAGCTGACGCCGGGATGCTCTAAGCCTAGTTTCGCAGTGCCATCTTCTGGAGAATAATACCACATTTCAAAAGCATTTTGCAGACACCTTTTTCTCCTGATTTACTGCTGAACATAGGATGCTTTGAAGGAAAGTGAAATCACTTCAGATCACCAAACCTGGCATCATCTAAGGAAGAGATTAGCATAAAAGTGGTTAATCCAAAATTTAAACTGTCTCTTTATGCTTCACAGCAGAAGTCTCAGACACCATGAGCTACAATGAGATTCCTGGCTGGGAATTTGTAATGTGTTCTCCTTGGAACAGGAAAGAATGTGGTTTACATCTCCCATCACTTTTCTTCACTTCATTGACAGCATCAGCCCTGTCTGTGGTGGTTGCAAAACTACACATCGAGTCTCTACTTCAAAGCAAAAGCAGTCTTCCTTGCAGCTTACTGGCTGAATTTTATTTATTTCTGTATTGCTGTGTAGGGGTTG